TAATCGATTGTTGGAAATGACGGGGTAAATATGGCGGTGATGAAGGAGTTCTTTTTGGTGTTTTGATTTATGAAGATAGAATAGAATGTGGTTTAGGAAGAGAAAATGGAGAGGAACGAAATGGATAGAGAACAAGGATGGATAAACCAAATAATGAATAAGAGATAAACACACTCTTATTATATTTGGGGCTGATATCTATTTCACACAATAATAATCACTACTAATGTATAAAATAGACTCCTAACACACACTCAAAAGTAGCCAACTTTAGAGATATTTCATTAGGAAATTTGGTTAAAATAGCATCGCACTATTTTAAGATTATACTCAAAAGAGTAAACAAAGTTTTTCATTCAATACAATCTGCTTTTACAATGGTCTCATGGCCAAATTATATACAAAGCAAGGGGAAGGGAAATACAGGGAAATACAACAGCAAATGAAAACAAATGCAACAAGGAAACTTCCTTCAACCCTTACACATGCGTGTCATTATTTCACTACCTCCCAATTGAGTTTAGTTCTTCATAAAAGATAGGGGATTTGAGTGGATTTCTTTTGGCTTTATTTGGATGGAAATTCGGCCATATGTGGAATAAGTCAAGGACATTATGTGGCTGTGATGAAGCATTCCTTGGCCTATTTTGAGGTGCATATTTCGGCCATATGGGTGCAAGACAAAGGAAATAACATGGCCTGATTTTTAGTGATTAATAGAACAAGAAGTTACTATTCAATCAAAGACCTTTTGCTGATTTTTGTCCCTTTGTTGTGTGTGGGTATTTAGGCCTGATTTTGGGAAGGAAATGGTAGGAAATTTCATGGGAAAGGTGTAGGAAAATAAGGGGAAGGTCTTATTTAATGAAAGGAACAAAAGAAATAGAAAACAACACAAAAGGTTTGTCTTTTTGGTCATCATTTTCGTCCAAGGCTAAAAAGGAGGGTAAAGACTTTATTTTGATTATCAAATGAAGATAAAAGACTTTTGGATATTTTGGGAGAGGTTGGGATTTTAGTGGAGCCATCCAAGGGTACATCACTATCGTACCCTCCCCCATGTCCCACACCCGAGGCTGAGCCCACACTCCCCATACCTTCTCTAAACATCCAAAATATTTCCTTTTTAAAATAAAGTTTTTCCTACTCTTATTTTAGCAATGGCCGAAAATAAGAGTGTATAAACCAAAACCTTTTTGTTTGTTGTTATTTTCCTTCTTTTAAGCCTTTCCAATAAACAAATAAAACCCTCTCTCCTTCTCTTTTATTTCCTGGCCAATTAAATCTCACAATCCCAACATAAACACCAACAAAGGGCCAAAATCCTGACCCACCACTAGCCACTCATTCCTGCCCATGTTTCCCTCACAATAACCCAAACCCATATGTCCAAAATCACCCCTAATATTGCCCAGCCCTGTCCCCCTTTATTGGCCAAACACAACCCTTCATTTGTACCCAAATAATAGCCTTAAAACCCAGGAAACAACCACTACAAACCAAAGCTCAAAACCCCCACAAACCCCAGCCCCATCTCTGATTTCAGTCCATTAAGGAGACATGAATGAAGAAAGAGTACCCCATGCTTTGGAGAAGGATGTTGCTAGGAAGTTTCCTAATGTCTACATTCAATGTATTGTGTTTCTTCCCCTTTTCCCTTGCCTATATAACTCAGGCCTTATGGCCATTGTAACAACAACCTTTTGAATATTAAAATCTTTTACTCTTTGAGTATTATTAAAATAGTGTGATGCTATTTTAGCCAAATTCCTAATTCTATATCTTAAGAGTGGTTATCTTAAGTGTGAGTTTTAGGTTCTAGATATTTGATTAAGTTTGTCATATCTTAATTAAATTCTAGATTCAAACCCCAAGTTAGGATAAGAGTGTGTAATATCTCTTAAACACCAACTTGCTTTATCCATCCCTGATTTTCTCCCATTTCATACCTCCCCATTTCTCCTCTTAATCTTACTCTTTTCTTCCATTAAAAATACCCAAAAGAGCTCCCTCATCATCTCCACAAATCCACGCCATTCCCACACAAACATCACAATTACCCACCCAGGTTTCCAGATCCTGATTGCCTTAATAATCGATTATCAATTAAGATAATCGACTATCTCACCCTTCAGGACTTTCTCGGCGTATGCTGCGATTCTCAATAATCAATTATCAAACATAGATAATCGATTATCTCAGTCTTTAGGACTTTCTCGGCGTTTGCTGCAAATCTCAATAATCGATTATCAACTCTTGATAGTCGACTATCTGGTCCCGCAGAATCCTGAACTCAAGTTGCATCATCCCTTGATTCCTCCTCAAAATAACAACTCGTTTAGACCCCCGGTTCGGGTATAACATCTGGTATCAGAGCTTGTTGTTCCACATCCCTCAAGGGGCCAAAACACCATCTCCTACATTCTCTCTTTTGAAACATTTCTCACATCGTCTAAGAAATGTCTCAATATGATGTAGTTGCTGCCCAAGAAAAGTTAAAGAAGGAAGTTGAGCTTATGATGAAACAAGTCAAGGAGCTCACTAATTCAGTGGAGATTCCCACGTTTGAAGGAAGAAATGACCCGGAGAAGTTCTCAAAGTGGTTAGCAAAAGTTGAAGACGTCTTTACACTCAAAGACGTGCCCGAAGACAAGAAGGTCAAGCTAGTGGTGACAAAGTTTCAAACACATGCCTCTACTTGGTGGGCTTGCGTTGCTTCAAAACGAAATCTCCAAGGAAAAGCGAAGGTGAGAACTTGGAAAAAGTTAAGAAAACTCTTAATTGAGAGATTTTCTTCCAAAGATCATCTCCACCAGGTACTTAAACATACTCTCCCTTTTTCACCCAATACTCTTTCTACACTCATCCCACCTTCCCCACA